AGAAAGAAGCTCAAAATTGAAATGGAGGACTGAAATAATAAATACAAGCACATCTTATCATTGCTGCTGTGAGGTTGTTACTACAGTGTCGTCTTCAGTGCGATGTACAAGGGAGGCTGCTTTTCCCTTTGGGAAAAAAATCAAATAGCAGGGACTATGCTTTTTGGAATGCTGACGCAAAATGAAAACACTAAAAATGAGGGGGACACATATGTCTCTTCTAAAATGATGCTTCATCCCTAACCAGTAATTGGGGTTATTGATTTGTTATTCTAATATCCAGCAGATATCATCCATTTGTAATTAAGCTACGATGGGTCAAGGATGTGAATGTTGGGGACAAAATACATACTTGATGGTTTTGACTCGCTTGACAAATGACTTTTAGTATATAAACCGGAGAAGAAGTATCTTCCTCCAAGATCATCTAGTCCAAGCTTGCGTTCAAATACATTTTCTTGAATAACATCCATCCTCCTTGTCAAAACCATTCTCACTTTGGATGCTTGTACGGATAAAGAACTCTGTATTTTGAAATCTAGCTCATTCCAGTTATGGGCTGCTGTAAAACCTTATGGAAAATATCCTTATGCTACGTTGGAACGTCTCCCTGAACCTCACCCACAGATCCTCATTCTCCTCTTTGGAACTTCCAAATAGAACAGCATAATGGAAATAGCATGATCCTGTGAGTCAGGAGAATCAGGCTGTAGACCAGACTGGTCTTTGTTACTTGACCTTGGACAAGTCACCTGCCCTCTCCAGCCCTAGTTGCTCTTCCAAAAGAAAAGGAATCGGGATGAAATGATCTGATTTGCAAATTCGAGTAGGTATACACCAGCCTTCCTGTGATGGTTCTTAAACTTTGGAGATGACTATTTACCTACAGGCTTTTGCTTTAACCCCATTCTAATAACCTCTAAGACAAATAAAGACCGGTTCATTCTACAGCAAGAACGCTGCGGTAGAAACTGGCCTTCTCTAGTATATTTATATTCAAATGAGCAGCTGAAATCAGATACGCATTTGAGATCAAATAACCAAGTGAGTGCTCACACATTCTACACTGCAACCCCATCTAAGCGACCAAGATGATTGTGCAGAGAACGGAAATGTTGTTTAGGAACTGAGTCCCACTTCCCTTGTAATGCACATACTGAAACCTACAAAAAGCCGACAGGTTCAAAGCAAGGTAATCTACCTTGATGTCATTTTAATAAAATGCCTGCATTTTGGTTCTCTCACAAACCCTCTTTTCCAGAGGACAGACTACTTCTCTTCTTAATCCTGATGGTTTTATCCAGTTTCCAATACACATCTCTGTGTAACTGCTTAGTTACATATAGAAAAAAAAATGCTTTGTGAATTTTCATGGTGAGAATTGATACAGCAGCGTTTCAGCAGCTGTGCCAAATCTGAGCAAACGACTATTTGCTGAAATAGTGCAGGAGAAAAAAAAACAGCCATGTTTACGGCAACACATGGCAAACCTGCCCACATGTCAGCAATAATGAACTTCTTTAGTTATTGCGGGGACCCCAGAGTGCAAGCTGATTTGAGTCCAGCTCAGGAGTTAAAACACGGTTCTCCGATTCCAATGCAAAGGCGATCCAAAACGCAAGACATATCTTCCTAAAGTTGGCTCCCCCCGCCCCAGATAATTCACTCTCATCTCCTTATAATTATTTTTGTGTCAGCAGGACTTCCTTTTAAATCCATCACTTACTGTACTAAATTTTCTATATTTCTGGAAGTTATAGAAGGAAATGAGCAGATAGAAGTGTGATGATTCTTTCTATAAATAACTGTGAGTTTCCAGGATGGAATGATATTCCACTCTGAAGGGGAGCTAGGCATAAAACAACTAGTAGCTGTTGTGGGCTGGGAGACGACTCGTAAAGAAAAACAAAAGAGAGCAACGTGGCAAATATATTCAATTGAAAAGCTCCCTGGGTGTGGTAATCCTACAATGGCAAATATATGCTTGGACATAGGATCCTAGATTATTCTGTGTATTGCCACTAATGACCAAACAGCAGTGAGAAAAACATTTCCCTGAGCTAGCCTGTGCCATAGATGATGCTGGCTGTTCATAGCAGCAGAAGAGAAGAATTTCCAGCAGGGAGGAGTTGGCAAATGTGATACATCCTGCTATGGAACAAGGAGACCCATGGCAGAGACATGGCTTCCCGGGGGGTTCTTGCAGGAAATGGCTTTTGAAATATGCACTTGGTAATTTGTATTGAAATCCAATTGCTGAAAACAAACCAAACGGCTTAGCAGCTTTAGGAACCCAAATGTCTGTGTCGATTTATTTTGCTCCCTATCAAAATTCATTATATGTACCACGCGTGTTTCCCTTCTTGTTCTTATTAAACACAGATACTGCTTTTTGTTTTCTACAGCTAGAGCTCTACCAGGAGGCCCTGATACCGGTTACCCCGTGATGTCAGTTATCCCAGCAAACTATTCCATGGGAGTGGAGAAGGTAAAGCAGTTGTTCACTGGCTGGCCAGTGAATTCCTTGAAAACATGAATTCCTAGCGTTGTGTTGATACGTCCCGGATTTCACATATATTTACAAGAAATAAAGCGGAGACAGAGAATAAGGAGAAAGAAGTCTCAGATTTCATATATATTGCCGTGATTCTTGTTCAGTACTCGGATTCTGAGTTCTGATAAGCAGACATCGTCTCGTTTTTTTCTCTGAATACTCCTTTGGCCTTATGCTCCCGGATCTTAACCCAGGCACAGGCCTCTTTGGTCAATAATTTGCATCGGACTTGTTTTTGTTTTTTGTTTTTTTTTTAACTCCCATGTTTCTAATCAAATCCTTCCCCCGGGGTTATTTTGGATCTAGATGTCTCTACACAGTTCTCTGAATAATATTTGTGGGTAATCATATTAGCGGCAGCATCGATATGTACCTTGGTTGGCTACCTGGGAATTACATACTTAACAGATTAAAGGATGATAATGAGGATAAAGTTAACAAGGAAAATCAAAACCAAATCTCAAGACACTGGATACTACTGAAATCCCAAGTTTCCGTTTAAAGTGAAGAGAAGAAGAAAAAAAAAAAAATAAAGAGAAGAGCAAGACACTTATCGTTTGGGCTGCAGTACCTACTCGGATTTGGTGCATCTAGGTAGTCAAGGCAGAGACCTTTTATTTGTTTATATCACCTAAGTAATTCCCTTAGGGCATAATTCACTATTTGTGTGTATTCCTGTGCGTGATTCCTGTGTGTGTTGTGGGGGGTGGGGGTGGTGAGGGAGGGACTTAGACCGGCCTATTGTTTTGTTTTGCTTTGTTTTTCTTGTCGACCTGGCCTATTGTATAAACTAACAAAACAACGGCATGGGCTAAAAACCAAATTATTTGCATTTCTTCTTGATGTTGAGCTTTGCCACTTTCGCACTAATAAACACACTAAATGGCTACAAATATGACCTATTAAGAAAAGACTTTTATTAGTGAAAACAGCATTAAAATAACTGAATAGCAACTCCAGAATTTTACCACAACGGTTCGGTTTACATGAAACAATAATGGAAATATACATTGCAATTCTTAGTCGGGAGAATTGAGCTTACTAGGATTTTCAAAGGCTTCCACGAGCAGTAGCCACTGCACAACATGGCTTCCTCGGGTTGTTAACCAGCGGCCTAGGACACGATCCAGTATTTGCCAACCAAGAGAAATGCGTTGTTCAGAAACTTTGGACGACGACTATTTCCTTTCTATAGCTAATGTGAAATTCTTCCCTGGATCTCGGCGCTACAGTCAATGGATCTGATAATTATTACGATTTAATGAAAAACCTGAATCTTTTTATTCTCGATAGCCAGTATTTGGTCCTTTCATATAAATAAGGGAGACAGCACAGTTTGCCTTCCTTCATTCCCCTTCTAAAGTGCAATCTTAACAACCAGTGGAAACTAAGACAAAACAAAATTCAAAATTAGATTAAGGGCAGTTTTGTCCAAAAATGAGGTTTAAAACTCACTTAACCTCCCGTTTGCTTTTAATTTAACAAAGGACAGAGCCTCAGCATATCCAGAATCGAGGGTTAGCAATTATCGGGTGAATTTGATATGTGTTGCCAGTTATTCCCGGTAAGTGAAGCCACAAACAGGATATTTTAGTTCAGCCCATCTGACCATAGTGACTAATTGAATGAGCACTGGAAATGAAGCCAAACCTTCATCTGATACGGCTTGTCCACATAACTGAGTGGCTGGGACCCAAAGCCCTATGCTCAGTAACTCACAAAGAACTAAAAAGTCACACAATCACGGGATGTATAGCCTGTGACACGGAAAACATTTCGCCCGAAAGCACTTGTATGTGCTATCCATGCTGTTGACTTCTTCAGCATAGCTAGGTATAGGCTTAAGGCCACAATACTCTTCGTTTATATTCTCTGTTTCCCTCTCTCTTTGCGTCTCTTCCCCTAAGGAAACGTGCCTCCAGTTCACTTTATTGGTCTGTTTATAATCTTTGCTGGACATGATTGGCCTCAAATTAACCATAATGCACTCAGTTCATTTTTTCTCGACCATAAAACTCTGGTAAAGTGATGGATTGGTGATTTTGATCATCTTTGAAAGAACCAAATAAAAATCACAATCCACCCCATAAATGGGCAACTAACTTGTAACCTACCAGGCTGGCCGTGGATTATAGAGGTTCTAAAGTTTTTCTAAACATATTTTAATAGTTAAGACTGAATATTAATATCTGCTTATCTGCAGTTATGTCAGATTCCAACTGATTCATGGGAATGGGCTGTCAGGGGAAAGGAAGACAGATTGCAAAGATGTTTGGGGGGGGAAAGCATCTCTTAACATAGATTTGTCAATTAAGTTTAATACAGTTTCCTAAAGCTCTGTATCTTACCCTCAAATCTAGGTGAAAAGACCAATTTGGTTACTATTTTATTTCCTCTGAAAGATAACGGAAAGATAAATATATTTCACAAACTGTGGCTTCAGAAATACCATTCTAGCAAACAATTTTATTAATACTTCCATAAAAATGGCATTTAATAAATTCTGTCTAATACCTTGATGCTATTAAAAGCAAGCAAAAGTCATTAAAACAGTTTCTGTGATTTACATTAGCTTTTATAGAACTGCTTGATTTTCATCTTATAAACTAACCTAAAATACTACTAACCAAATCAGGGTAAAAACAATACAATGTGTTTTCTTTACTTTATTTCAAAATAGTGATTATAAATACATTCTTGATATATTTTCTCCCCAGCTCTTTGGATGCGACAACAATAACAAAAAAAAAAAAAAAAAAAAACAAACAAAAAAACAAAAACAAAAACTCACTGTGCTCATTTCATACAATGTCAAAGTACAAATCATGCAAAAGATATCATAGATTAATATTACTGCCATACATTTCTAGATGTGTTCTGTTATTTCTGCAGTACCCACTGACGTTACTCATGAGGCCATGCCCTGTGTAATTTATGCATCCTTATGGCTTAAAGAAATGAAACATTTTTAAAAAGCAACAAAAGAAAGCCGGTCTTAAATGATCTTCTAATTAATATATTTATTCAGAATGGAAAACTAAATATAGAATATAAATCGCCTTATAGACTTGAATCACTGTATTTTAATAGCTGCTTTCTCATAAAATTACACAAAGATTTACTTTTCAAGAATTGAATCATCTTTATTGATTTCATAAAAAAATAATTTAAAACTTGATTTATATTACACAGACATAATATATTATCTCAACCCCTCCACTAATTTCACAGGATCTAATCTTCTCTGCAACCGTTCTAACAGAGTCCGAGCACATGATACGATGCCAAGAAGCCCATGATGTGTCAGACCACATTAGAAGTGAGCACTTCTTGGATTTTCTAGATCAGAATCGAATTCTACTAAAGATGCTGTACTGACGTGTATATCACTCCTCAAGGGGTTAAACTAACATCAAGGTTATAGTTGAAGCCAACAAAATGTAGATACGGTATTTTAACTGCTCTTGTACTCAACTCAAAACTTATGCCTAACTACATTATCATAAAATGTACAAGTAGAACTAATGAGAGGCAGGTGCAAAATAGTATACACTGTATAATGTAGGCACAATGACTTCAGTTAAGGAAAATAGATCAGCCTTAACCAAGGATTTGTTACTGTCATTCACTTACAATTAAAACCTCCAAATAATCACACACGTTTAAATTACTCTTGAAAGAAAGTGGAACATTTATACCTCTCAGCGGAAGAGTTTGAGATAGCCAATATGCTACAGCAAGCTTTAAGATGGCGGCAGGTCCTCTCGCCATTGACAATTGCGGAAACCTTGAAACATCTTCAAAGCCTCGCCACACTGAATAAAAGGCATCGTCCCAATGACCTATTATCCCCAGATCATGGATTGAGCTTCCGGTTCCTCCTGTAAGTGTCTACTTAAGATTCCTCAATCCATACTTTATTGACAGGATAAACTAAAACACTTTCTTTGAAGCTTTTGCATCTTTATCCTGTCAGTATGCATTAGGAGCCCTTTAATCCAAGGATGCCTGCAAGCATGGTAATGGCATATTAAAAGTCCTTACGAAACTAGATGAAAACACGCTGTTGGGCACACATCTTCGTGTCTTTTCTTTCAAGATCAGAAAGCAAGTATTTGTTTGTATTTTTTTAATATTCATATAAAGTTTTCACAGACATCGTCATGAAAATTAAAATTACACATTAAAGTTTTAAGAGCACCAGCACATACATATGGAGACGATTTTTTTGCTATTTAAAAAAAAAATCTCCAAATTATCTATATGTACGCACATACACTCAAATACACACACGCGCGCGCACACACACACCGTCTAAGAATGCCAAGTTGTTTGTTTGTTTTATCTCGGAACAAACATATAAAGCCCTGAAATTAGTACTTAATAAAGGGACTACTGTTACAACTTTAACCACAGTATCATTTTGGAAGCTGCACCGAAACATCTGCCACTTGAAGTTCGCGAAGAAGAATGTCTATGTTTACCTTCTTGGTCATCTTACTGATTAACACAGTAATTATACATATGCAGGCAGGCCAAGAAGGTAATGCATTTCGGGATGTCACTTTGCTAATTGGGAGCTCCTACAAATGTTCAGATGTCTCCCATTACCAAGTCCTCCTCCATTCCTTTGACCAATTTTGACTTCGAAGTTAACAGGCAAGTTAACGCAAGTTTGCACAAGCAAACACAGTGGCATATCGTTTGTAGTTGCAGACTGTGAACCCATCGGAGACCAAGGAAAGCATTTTCCAGTGTGGCTCTGATAGCCGACACTACCGTGATGTTCACGGCTCTACTGGATTATCTGATCGTAGTCGAACGATGACAGGACAGGATACTGATGCGGACAGGATATCGCGATTAACCTTACTCATTAATTCTGTCGATATTTGTAGTGAAAACTATTTGATGTAAGCTCGTAGAATCCTGAAAAGCAAGACAACTGATGGCAACTAACAACTGCCCCAGACACGATACTATAAAACTAAGGAACCTATTTTAAAATGCACAGTTGGTAACAAATCTGCAGATAATATGCTGAATTCTCAAGAATAGCACAGAACTGGTTTTTAGTTTTATTTTTTTGTCTTTTTGTGTCTTTGTGTTTTTTGTTTCGTTTCTAAATGATACCTGATCACAATGTCCAGAATATTTCTGTACACATAAGCTTCGGTTTCAGTTTGGTATATTTTTTTCTGTCTAGATTTATACTTACTGATAAATTCCCTGTGATCAGGAAAACAAGTCAGGCATATTAAATACATATTAAGGAGTACATATTTTCCTATTTAGTATACAAAGTACTTCATAAATATGAATTATGTTACAAAAATAGCTTTGGGTGCGCTCACACGGTAAGCACTTTAAGGATTGTGGGTATTTCACAGAACCGAGAACAAACTCTAATGTTAGTTTAATTTGAGCCTTGTTTAATTCTCATAAACATCATGTATTTCTTCAGATCACCACAAACGCTACGGAACTCACGTTGATTTTTTTTTCTTTTAGGTTTTATGTATAGACAGGTAATGCTTAAAGTGTTCAAATTTATTTTATAGTTATGTAATGCATGGTATATTTTAAACAAATATTTGCACAATTTAACATTATAAATCCAGCGGTTTCAAGATGCAGGCCATAAAGTTTACCAATTTTACAAATACTATCGAATGTTCTCTCTTTGCATGCTTTTTTTTTTGTTTGTTTTGTTTTGTTTTGTTTTGTTTTTGTCTTTTTTTGTTGTTTTTTTGTTTTTTTGGTTTTTTTGTGTTTTTACTTTTCAGATCATCTTTACGCAGAATTGTTACAATGCCACGAATCGAAAGGATTATTCCAGTTCCACCGACTTAATCTACGTGCAAAATGAAAGACCCAGCTGAGGTACAAACACTGGTACCAGTTTTCTTGAGTCTGCTCTACAAAGCACAAAGAGACGAAGGTTTTGCATTGGGGTACAAAACAGATTTGCCTCTTGAGGTTAAATTCAGTGTTTTATGTATATAAAGCATCCCTTTGGCAATAGAGTTTGCAGTATCCCCACAGGACTCCACAGTATAGGTTTTATGTAGTAAAATCTATTAAGGAAATTCTCTTCTACCGGACACATCTTTTGCAGCTACAGTTAATGAGACACCCTTGGAAACACCTGCCTCTATGCCTATTGATAATATAGTATTTGGAAGTCAGGAGTCAACAAAAGGCACTTTCATCATTAAATAAATGTCCTCTGTATGAAGTAAGACTGCATGACCTAGATCTTGTTCAAAGCTGTCTGCTCCTCAAGGACCTGTAGGTAGTCGGGGGAACTCTGGAGTTTTGCCTTCAGTTCAAAATACTCGCTGGTCTTCCTTTGTTCCACGACAATTTTACTGTGGTTGCCGCCTATCAGCGACTTCTTGTTTTTTTTGTCTTGTTGTTTTTCCGGATAGCGGATCTCGAAGCCGCTGACACCTATGCTGTTGTACTCCTTTTTGCTTTCAAGAAAATTCTGGATAAACACATTGGAATCCCTGCTCGGGAATAATTCATCCAGCTCGTCGATGGTGCTCAGTCTCTTCCTACTGTCTGCATGTAACAAATCTTTCTCCTTGTCGGCCACATTCCTCATAGTGACTTTCTGTCCCGGCGGGTCCGAGAACATGAACCCGGTTTCGGACTCTTTCAAACCACAGGTGTGGCTCTTGCTCATCTGTTCTATGGTTTGTGGAATGAAAGCTTCTGTGCTCAGTCCGTCTTTCTTGTTGCTCTTGTGATCGTGTTTCCTGAGCTGCAGCTGCATGGAGCCACACTCCGGGTTCCCCAGGCCTTCGTGCTTCACGGTGGGCTTCTTGTTTCGTCGCAGCACAAAAACAAGAAGGCAAAAAGCAACAAACACTGTTAAAATGAGGACCACCAAGATGCTCAAGATTAAAATAGACAGAGGCACTGGGCCACCGGGAGGACTTCGAATGGGACCCAGTGGGGTGGTGAACGTAATGGCAGGTGCGGGGCTCGTGAACGGCGCGGATGGCTTGTTTAAGAGTTTGGGACATAAGATTTCATTTTTGAGGGACTTCAGTTCAATGTTGGCAAACTGGACGGGTGTCTCACACTTCAGTTCCTTCACCACGATGCCGTCATTCAGCTTCTCCAGCCACAGCTTTAATGCCACCAAGTCACAAGTGCAGTCCCAAGGGTTGCCCTCCAAGTCAATCTGCGTCAGAGACTGCAGCTGATCGAGGACCCCGCTGACGGGCAAGTACATGAACTTGTTGTTCCGCAGGTTCAGTCTAGCCAGGGGCGCTCCAGAAAAAATGTAAACAGGCAGGCTCTTTAAGAGATTGTTGTTTAAATACAGCAATTGCAAATTGGGCATGGAGTCGAAGGTGCCTGCTAAGATCTCCTTAATCAGATTGTATTCCAAATACAGATACTGCAGGTTACGAAGGCCCGAAAATATTTCGGGGTAGAGTCTCTCAATCTGATTGCCGTTGAGATACAGCCTGCGTAAATTAGTGAGATTGTGGAATACGTCGCCCTTGATCACCGTAATCTGATTGCTGCCTAAATGGAGCAAATCCAGTCCTTCAAACTCGGCGAAGTCTGAGACGTCCACGTCTCTGATGCTATTGCCGTTGACGTGCAACTTCTTGGCATTTAAAGGTTTCGGGACCAGTTCAGACATGGACTGTATATTTTTCTCTTGGCAGTTGACGCTCAGTCCCAAGTCCGAAGGGTGGGTTTTGCAAAAGCAAGGTGCTGGGCAAGGCGTAAGAGGAGGCACCCTCGTTTGGTAAGACACGATCTGACTGAGATTGCGGTTGGAGAGGGATTTGCCTGCCACGATGCCAGAGATCTTGGAAGGGTTTGTCGTTTTCGGCGGTTTGGTCACTAATCTGTGTAAGGACGTTTGGGTAGTGTGGCCATTGGGAGTGGTGAAGCCATTCTCCAGCTGAGACGGAGGCAGGATTCGTACATCAAAATCACTGCCCGTGCCCATGGGGCATAGTTCTTGTTTGTTGGTTTCTTTTAAAAGCCTTCCATATAAGTCACTGGGCGTTTCGCAGATAGCTTCTCCTATGTAAATGTTATATGGCATGTTCTCCAACCAGGCTTTTAAAGGCAACAAATCACAGCTGCAGTTCCAAGGATTGTCTTCTAGTTGCAGTTCGACAACGCGGCCTATGTGTTCCAGAACCCCGATATAGGGGAGCTTCTGGATCCTGTTCCCTCGTATATCCAGGTGGGTCAAAGATGCGAATCGGAAAATATTATCAGGAAGGAATGAAATCAGATTGTCATTAAGAATGAGAACTTTCAGTTTGTGGAGTTTATTGAAGGCTCCTCGTTCAATATACTTGATTAAATTGTAGTCAGCCTGGAGATACTCCAAGTTCTCTATGCCAAGGAAAGTGTCAGCTCGGAGAATCTTTAATTCATTGTTGTTCAAGTGCAACTGCTTTAATGCACTGAGCCCAAGAAAGGCTCCTCCCTCAATGTTCTGCAGTTTATTATTTCCCAGCTGCAGGGATACTGCGTGTGAAAAATTCAAGAATGTATTCGGATAGAGGATATTTAAAAAATTGTTTTGGAAGTTGAGGTGATAAAAATTAGACCAGGGTGGTTTCAGCTGATTTGGTCTGTAGACTGAAACCTTCTCACAGTTGACATAGAGCACGTTCTCGACTGACACGCAGGAGCACACATTGCAAATTTCCACCGATATGTCAGAATCTGCGTTTGTCGAAGAAATCAGGGCTGACAAAATCAGAAAGAGCCAAAGAAACATCTTCTGGCAATCAGCAAACAACTTTATGCTTCTGAATAAAGAGAAACAATCTAAAAAATAAAAAGAAAACATTTTTTCAATGATCATTACTTGAAAGATTATTTGTGTCTACATCATACCATAGTAAACACATGGCTGTAATCATCAGCTTTGTATTTTTCTGCAAGTACTCTCACTCAGTTGAACAATAATCAGCAGAAATGCCACACGTTTTACTTCCACACGTGGGGTTTATACACATTTTATGTGTGCAGAACACACAACAAACAACAGGAAAAAAAGCCTCGATCGTACGTAAACCTTAACAATCTGAAAATCTTTTCTCTACGTGGACCGTCACATTCTGCCCCCCGAACACAGACCTGTGGCAACTCTACTGACCTATCCCAGACCATCCACTGTGCCTTTTGTCGTTTGCACCACAAAGGCATTTCCACCTGTAGAAGTCTACTCTCTGGGCTTCAGTTAGATAAGAGGCCAAACAGAGGAGATATCAGACCCCTGGGTTTGGTGGAGGATGGCCAGGCCAGGATTGGGTTGCAGTAGAGGGGACAGTCACAAGATCAAGGTAGAAGGAGCCCTAGGAAGAGATCTGCCTGAGCTTCGGCCCACAGGTAAGCACCCTGCCATGAATCAGTTCACTCTTGTACATGGCTGCCTTAAAAAACACGGATGACCCAGTGAGGTTCTAGAAAAATAACCCAGTAGGAAATGACCAAAATTTTTATTTCAAGTAAATACACCGTGTCTAGTCTTTTTCCGGCCCCCCCCCAACCGGGGCCGGGGGGACGGGGGGGGGGGCTTTTGTCCCCGGGTCCCTGAAAATAGGAGAGAAACCTGCCTGCTCCTGCACTGCCTAGCTGATGTCTAGACAGCTCTCCCACCCCAAGAACAGGCTCTCCTGCCTACCTGGCCCACTTCTACTCCTTTACACGCCATTTTGAACCCAGGTCCGACTGACACTTGGCTCAGATGCTTATCTCCTTCACTTTGACCACCGACTAGCACTGCTGAGGAAGAAGAGTTTACAGGCTACAATCCTTGAGTGGGTTTATCTGCAGCACCAGATACATTTAGTCCGGTAAATGTTTCTCCTAAAATCATCACTTCCCAACATCCCCTCCCAGGCTCACCACTCCATGTCTCTGTCTATAAACAAATCACGAATCGCTTAGTGGAGTTTAATGCTTCGCAAATTAACCCGTTGTAGCCAATTCCTGAAATACTGCATGCATGTACACACATATGCAATGCTTCATGGAAAAGAGTGAAAGGAAAAACAAGCACCGTGTATTTTATTGATGCAATTTTAGCCATGTGTGTCTTTTCCATCTTGCATGGGAAGCTGGCTGTAATTTCAATATGGTTACCACCAAATATTAATAAAATAAATAAATTACCCAGGAACCCACCATGAGGGAATGATACAAAAAAGTGTCACACAGAAACTCCTTTGTTTATTTTGCCCACGAGGAATCAGCTAGTGGTAAAACCAAGCATGTCTCAAGGTAGGCAATCCATTAGCCACGACCCAGAAAGATGTGCATTTTAAATAGTTTGGTTCAGGATACAGCCAGCACCGCCAAGATGATCCTCGCTTGCCATATAGATACGCATTTCCCCTATTCACCCTGAGAGTTTGACTGGCAGTGCAAGAAGAAGTCATAAATTCTTAAGTATGACATCATCCAAGCCAACTTTCATTGTAAAATCAAAATTTCACATGATCGTTTTGCCTTCCTATAGATGTGGTTTTCAACAGCTATTCTGGTTCAGTTGAGTCATTTCTTGTTACTACACCCCCAACCAAAAATCAACCGAACTAAAAACAAAACAAAACAATAAGAACCCCGAATAACCTGAATTCAGTACAAAAACAAGAACAGGGAGCATCAGCAGATCTGAAATTGCATAAGGAGCTGCCCTCCTCCTCGTAATTTCTACTTTAAGTAGCATGGGAGAAAAAAGGCGCAAGGACGACCTAGGAAGTTCCCCAATGCATCTCCTGTGAAACAGAAAGCCGCAGGCAGCTGGACTGGCAAGCAAGGGAGAGGGGAGTCGATCGCCCAGGAAGAGGGACCGAAGGGGCAAGAGACCGTGGAGAGAGGAGGAAAGAGAACTAGAAGGGAGCTAGAAAGAGGGGAAGGGGCGCTGAACGCAAGCGAAAGAAACCTCACACAGGGCACCACTAAAACGTGCACATTTTAAAATCAGGGATAAAAACAAAAAAAACAAAAAAACAGAAAGTATGAGTTGGGTACCAAAAGCCATGTCTCGGGCTGCCGAGAGCGGCGCGTCTGCCCAAAGCGGCCCGTGTCCCCATCTCCCTCTCGGTCTCCGGATCTCCGCGCCCCGCAAGCCGCTCGGCTCCCGCGGCCGGCAGGACCGCACAAAGCCAGCGAGCCTTACCACGGATCCGGCGTCCACCGGCGCTCGGCGGGCCTGCGGGGGACGGACGCCTGCCGAGGGTGGGCCGGGGTGGCTCCCCGGGCGCGGGCAGGAGAGACCTCCGGCCGCCCGCCTAGGCGGGGGTGAGGGGCTCCGCGGAGAGACGCGGTCACTGCCGCCCCCTGTGCGCTACCTCGGGCCGGCGGGGACGCGGCCGGAGGGGCTGCCGGCGGTGGCGCGTACCGCAATGTTTTGCCGCATCCCGGAGCCGACACGCAGCCCCCTCCCGGGTCCCGGGCCCAAGCAGCGGCCTCGTGGGTCGGGCAGCGGAGGCGGGGACCGCTCGGGAGGTCGCGGGGGGCCTTCAGCCCCGCTGCGCACACATCTCTCCGCGCGCTCCCGTCCCACAAGGGGCAGCTATTGGAGTTTCCGTCGGCCTCTAGAGCCGGGCGTGCGGCGGTTGAGGGGTAAGAGACCGCCAGCCCAAGCCACGAGGCCGCGGGCCACTGGGGCGTCACTGGCCCGCTTGTCACACAGGCAGAGTGACCCGGTGGCTCCGTGGCCGAGAGCGGCGGTCCGGGCACCCCCCTGCCCCCCCCCCCCGCCCGCCCGCCCCCACCCCCCCTCCCCCCCGCTGCCCAGGCACAAAATGCTGCTCTCACCACGCCAGAAATCAGCTCAACATTTGGGCATCTTGCAAAGTCGCGCTGCCAGCACTTGCCCGGCTTTGCAGGGCTTTTAGAGTTAGCTACCGGCTTCTCTCGTATTCCCAGTGTTGCAGGGTGCCAGCAGTCTCGGGCCAGCTCCCGGGCCACTGCCGGGAGCCCCAGACCCACGTCCGCCTAGAGTGCTTGCGAGGGGGGCGCAGAAAACAAAGCCAGCGCAGCGGCCCCGACAGCCCGAGCCGCCCTAGACCAGGACACTTTCCCCGCCGGGGAGGCAGCGATGTTAAGGACACCGGATTCTTTGGGTTCTCGGGGACCCGCGACCGCGCCGTGGGCAGGCAAGCAGGGTGGTGCTGGAGTAGCCACTGTGGTCGCTTTGGCCACTCCGCCGGCCCCAAACCAACACGACCCAAACTAAAAATAATAAGCTACCTGCCCCCCTCCGCGCGCACGCGCGCGCGCGCACACACACACACACACACACGCGCGCGCGCGCGCGCGCGCGCGCTGCCGAGCCAAGCGGGAAGAGGCAGCGAGTGTCGGTGCAGCTCGCGCAGCCCCGCTGGTAATTCACCCACCTCCGGAGCCCCACAGCTCTCGCAGGGCCCGCGGCGCCGCGATCCGCTCTGCAGTTTCCGCGATGGGCTCTACGTGATCCCGGATCCAGCTCCTCCGCGCCGGCTCGCCCGTCAAACCCAGCGAGCAGCCCTCGCAGGCAAGCAGGCGGGCAGCGGCGCGCGCGCGCGCACCCGGCCAGACACCGCGCGCGCACCCAGCCCCTCGCACACGGGCTGCACCTTTACATACACGCGCCGAATCCCCGCCCCCGCCCCCCCCCCACCCCCCGCACACACGCAGCCTCCCTCCCAGCACTCAGGCACCTCGACCCCCGCACACTGCCGAGGCCCCCTGTCCCCCATCCAGACACCTCCACTTGATTCCTCTGCTGCCCACACGCCGAGAAAAGCACTTTCCTCCCGCACCCGCCCCCTCTTTATGCCTAAAACACCCCCTGGGGAGGAGCGACCCCTTTCCTCACGCGTAGAGACCCCAGTCCCCAAACGCGAGCGCGCCAACCTCCATCCTCCCACCACATACACGCACACTCGAGTCCTTTCTCCTCCTTCAGCCCCCCAAGAACGAAGGCACACACAGACACACACACAGACACACACACACACACACACACACACACACACACACACACACACAACCGGGGCATTCCTTTGAGAGAGCAACCGAGAACCCAGGCAAAGCCAAAGAAACGTCGGAGGGGGTGGGGGAGGCCGAGGGAGGTAGATAGGGGCGTCGAGTCTACGCGGGATTGAATAATTCCAGGACCGAGGGGGGTGAGTCAACAACAATGACATTCAAAGGCAACAATCGCACTTGGGCTTTGTATAACGGGTACGGTACCTTTGGCTAATTGTCACCTCGCAGAACGGAGGGCTCCGGGAATACTTCTTCGGTAGCGGGCAATCCTGGATGGAGCCTTCTTGGGACCAGTTTCCCGGGATCCAGTAGTAGCCTCACTCCCCCTACCTGTCTGCGCGTAAGGGGCTGGGGGCTTTAAGGCAAAAGTGTAAAGCTTTAGCCCAGAGTGAGACTTATTTAGTGGCTTTAGGAGGAGACGGGTTAATCCCCCGCATCTTAGAACTCTGCATGCCTTCGGTGTAGAACGGGTTAAGCAGGACGATTAAAGAGCTGGGGGTGGGGAGAGGGGGATAGGGATAGAGGAAAGAGAGGTGTGGGACTGGGAGAGATGCCGCACTTGCGACCAAAAGAAGGGGGAAAAAAAAATCTGCTTTGGCTACTGAGCATGCCCAGTTCCCAGCTCGAGCCCTATAAGAGAGGCATTGTGTGCGTTCCACTTCTCCGGGCTTTGGTGGTGACCGGGAGGGGACTTTGGTCGGGGAGGGTGTTGGTGAATGAGAGGCTTTAGGGAAGGGGGACAAGGTTTGGCGCTCTGGGGCTGTGCGGGAAGACACCCACGGGATACCTTGGGGAGTCAGAAAAGGAGACAACGGAAGGGACTACGGAAAGTCACTTCAGTAGCCCCCTCAGCGTCTTGTCTATACCACAGAGGCTTTAGCAATGGAATCTCAAATATCCAGAGGCTGCAAATCCAGCGCGGGGATTGTCTGGGCCCCTTTCTTGTACCCTTTTGCTAGCGCTTGCACAAGACAGTGGGAATATCCCGAGGAAAAGCTAATGTTCAAACCAGTGTCGTGCAGACTGGGAGTTGAGTTAATAAGCTTGGCAAGAAAGCAGACGTACCTGTGGGGCGGGGGAGTTTGGCTATCCTCTGTGTATTTCACATACCTGGCTTTTCGAAGGAGGAAAGGCTCAAACGGTCATTTTACACCCCTCCCCCCAACCTTGCTGTTTTTGTAAGCAAAACCAGGCTCTCTCTTTACTTTGTCTCGGTGGGGATAAACTGGCTGTAGGTAAATAGAGCTAAGTTATAAATGGCAGGGATTTCCCTAGCCAATTCTTTGCCACACTTCAGGTAATGCTGCAGGGCCCATTTCTTTGGGACCTAGGTCCTGCCTAATCCACTTATTCAAATTCCAGGGGCTCTGGCCACAATAAGGTATAGCCAGTACCCAGCAATGCTTGTACTTAAAAATGAAAAACTCTTTAAACTAAAGCTAGCAATAGCTTTGAAACCGGAGTTTGGCCGTCTGCCTGAACTCCTACAGTTAAACATTTACCATAATTGGTGGATGTTTAAAGGCCTCAAATCTAGGCAAAAAATCCGATGAGCAAAGGAGTTATTACATTATTTGTGGACACCGTCCTATTTTCGATATTATCTCTAGTATGTGTTCCTATAGAAGTTCAGATTTTTTCATTCTTGTCATTGCATGAGGCTGCCTTCAGGTTATATTGATGCGACTGTTTGCTCGGTGCAGCATGTCATGTATATACAGATGCATGTACGGTATTTAAATGAATATTTAAGTAGATATGTGTATATAGGCATATTTCTTCTGACCTTGGTAAATACTGCGTCTTTCATCAAGAATCCTTTCTCTACCCCCACTCCTCATTGCCCTTACAACTTTCGTCTCCTTCTCTTTTAAAAACCTAGACGCAGAAATTGAGTGGGCAGCAATGGCAAATTTTGCTATATATTCCATGTGAAATCCATTATGAAAAAGCATCACTTAAGGAAACACTAAAGGATCTGTCCATAACAACACATGCACTTATTCAGCTCCTCTTAGTGGGGTGAAATTTGTTTCCTCCTTAGGTAAACAGCTGCAGTATGTTGAAAAATCCCTCTACTGTTGTACATTTCAACAAAACAGATCCTGCTAATTAAGAACTCACATTTGCATTATATTGTGTAATGCAATTTGAAAGTGGTAATGGATACCAAAACAAGTTGGCATTTATTCTAGATGCAGAGGATTCGGGAAGCTACAATATATTTTATCAGGATAGAGGAATTGTTTGTCCTTTACTATAAATGTTAACAAGATTCAATAGAATGAGCAAAAAATTTTTACCTGAAAATATAATGCACATTCCAAGTACTGTGATAGCTGAAAAGGCCAGATTTGGACAGTAAATATCAGACGATTTAAATGCCTACCTTTGTTCAACTTTAGAAACTGTTCTGAGAGTTGACTATATTTGACTGCAATAACTGTGAAACGTTCTTTTTCGTATGGGTATGGAGGCAGAAATCTGAAAACAAGTACGGCTACAATGTGAATAAACTACAAGTAATAATACTGCTAAAAACTTATCGGTGATTAAAATCCAAGTCATGAGAATGAATGCTTTGATACAGAATATTTTGCTGCTTAAAAATGACCAAGTGGATACTCCTAAAAATAACAGAAGTAACAGCTTCCATGCCTTCTGTTTCTTTAGCTTTCAAAGTAATTTAAAAACCCAACCCTTTAGTCCTGCCGTCTCTCTTGCAGCGCCTAGAATGACACGTGATATCCATATAGAACAATAGTACACTAAAGGAAGTTGCTAGCTGAAAAAAGGGAAGTAAATATATAAATAAATTAATAAATAAAAGCGTTAAGAAAACTCCAGCACTATTTATGGCAATGGAAAGAAACACAAAGTTGATGTTCTTCCTAAAATACACGAATGCAAATATTGTGAGACAGATTTGGCAATAGCCTCATGGTTTTTCTACAAATGGACAAGTGAAGCCATAGGACCAAACCGGTGTGCAAATAAACAACTGCACCAAGGCATGTCACCAACCTCCTGGAGAGCCTTCATTCCCGAGGCACTTTTAGTCAGGCAAACCCTACCAATCGCAAATGAATAAAACGCGAATGGAACTTGGCCCTCATCAGGGGTCTCGCACTCTCATATTCCTCATTTGCCCTGCCTTGCTGGTTTTGTTTTGTTTTTTTTTAGCTTCCGTAAGTAATCTCTACACCCAACGTGGGGCTCAGACTCACAACCCTGAGAGCTCCAGATCAAGAGTCGCATGCTCCACCAACTGAGCCAGCCAGGTGCCCCTTGTCTTGTTGCTATTTAAAATCAGATTAGCCTTAATTTTGGTATCCAGGTACCGCACACAGATCTTTCAGCGTGTCTTAATTTTGAAAATGTATTTATACCCTGGTATTTAGAGAAATTACGAATATGGCATCTCTCTAAAGTGGAATGCAGGAAACTTCTGAGGATGTTAACATATCTTCTGGGAAGAGACATTTCTAAGATCAAATAAGTTTAGAAGACCTTTGCTTCCATAAAGCTAAACGGTATTTTTGTTACTGTTTATTTTTCAGAAAGAGAGCGTGCGCGGGGTAGGGGCAGAGAGAGAGGGGGACAGAGGACCTGAAAGGGGCTCTGCCCTGACAGCAGAGAGCCCTATGTGGGGCTCGAACTCAGGAGCTGAGCTGTGAGGTCAGGACCTGAGCCCAAGTGGCTGCTCAACCCGCTGAGCCACCCAGGTGTTCCAAAGCTAAACAGGATTTTAAACTTTGGGATTTTCCCGCAAATTCAGTTATGTTAAAAATGAATTCTGACTTACAAGGGGGAAAGGGATATAGCACGTAGTCTTTCCCAAACTTATTTGACAATGGACACCTTTTTTTTTTTTTTTTTTTTTTGGTAACATATACACTTTGAGAAACCTTGTACTAATTGCTCACTTTTGCAAATTTTGTGGAAATCGGTAGCTTTCAGATCATAATCTAATCCATACCATAGTAGCTTCCATCTACTGAGTGCCCCTTCTTAGCCATATTGCCTCCAAACGTTATTTCATTTAGTTCTCTGAACAATACCACAAGGGAGAGATTCTTCTTTAAAAGTCAAGGTTCAGGGAAATGAGTGATTTGCCCAAGGTCACAAGGTAGTAAGCGACAGTCAAGATTTGACCTCAGGTCCTTGAGGTTTTCCAGGTACTCCA